AACTAATCCGTCATCTTAACTAGTACGTTAAAGAGGTAGTAAAACAGCGGCGCGATTATTTGTCTGTCGGTAAGTATAGTATATCATCTCTCTTATTTGGATACTACTACTGCGATGGAGGAAAATCTCGGAAGAAAGGGCGGGGGGGGAGTCTAGATGCGTGTGAGTGACCATCTCTCGAGCATTTTCGTAGTATGTCATGTCTCGGGCGGAATGTCGGCGGCGGTGCAAGCGAGGGGCGATCTTTTTTGGGGCTGAAAAGGAGAGGGTTTGCGTGCATGATGCACTGTATATTTGCTTTTTTTTTCCTAGGAAAGGGGGGGGGGGGCGGAGATAAGGGGTTGTGTGTGTGTGTGGCTGCGTGCAGGTCTGGAGGCCAGTGGCGTTGTTCCTTTTTTTCGTTATTTGCTTTTTTGTTGCTTGTTTGGGGGAGGGTTAAAGTCGGCTTTAGGGGAGTGGTGGCATGCAGAGGAGCTGGGTTTGAGGGGGTGGGATGAGTGTGGAGTGTGGAGGCATGGGGTGCAGGAGGCCTGGGGCTAAGGGATAAGGGGTGGATAGGTTTGATTTTCTTTTTCTTTTGAAGATATGGGGTGGCTTGTCTGGGGTTGTGTGGGATGCTTAGTTGGACTGTCGGGGATGATGATGATGGCTGGTGGTGTGTTAGGAAGTCGACGTGCGTACGGCTTGACTCGGTTTTTGTCGGGTAGGAGGGATGACACTTGTGATTTGGATAGAATGCGCGATAAGGGGGGGTTTAAGACGGCCTTGTCTCATGGCCCTCGAGTCCTACAAGTTTTCCTGAGTAAGGTCAGCCTGTATCAACTGTCATGATCCTTTGACACTCACCATAAACACTTCATCTTAGTAACAAAGTCCATACATAGTTTGAAACAACGCATCTGCAAGAAGTGATAGAAGTTTCAATACTTGATTGAAAATATTTACAAAAAGCTACTGCTCCAGAAAGTAATTCATAAACATGCCTTAGAGCCCATCCAATGCTCTATGCCATTGCCATCTCTCGCTCGCTCATCTCCACATAATTGCCATTGCAAGCCTCATCAAGGATATCCTCGACACAGTTGCCAGCAGCTTAGTTACCAGACTGCTGGGCGAAACCCAGCCTGGGGCCGTTGCTGCCCATCTCGTGGATGACGTACTTGCTCTTGAGGAAGATATCACCGAAGATGTTGAAACCAAAGTCAGATCCCGACTGGAGACCACCGAAGCAAGTGCCGTCGCCGTTGGGGGCAAAGTTGATGTACTTTCCAGGAATGGTCTGCTTGACGCCACCGACAACGATGGAGAAGTCGGGCAGGGTGCTGGAGCAGGGGAAGACGTAACCTCCCTGCTGGGAGTCGACCTGTGCGCCACGGACCTGTCCATAGTAGGCGCTAAGGATGGAGTCATCGACGTAGACAAGGCTGGTGCCGGTGTCGGCAATAGCATCAATGCTTGCCGAAGTGGTCTTTGTGCCAACGGCATAGCCAGTGGCGGAAAAGCCCCAGAAGCCTTGGCTGTCGTCGACGTTGACATAGGTGATGGCACCGGTGTACTTGCTGGAGTCGATGAAACCAAAGTCGTAGGAGCCAGCAGCGTGGTACTTGAGGTTGACAGAGAACAGCGGCTGGGCGAGCTGAGACTTGACAGTGTCGAAGAAAGTGGTCTGTTGGACAGGCTTGACAGTGTTGATGGAGCTCATGGCGAGGCCCAAAAGACCATCAGTGTTGGCATCGCTGGAGAAGGAGGCCGAAACTGATTGGGCAGCCTCAACAGCTTGGGAAGTTGCAGTGATGGGACCAACAGTGACTGAAATAAAGTTAGCGTGAGTCCTGATGAGCACAAGAGTCTTTTGATGATGATATTGATCACTTACCCTTGTCGGCGTACACTTTGCCAGAGGCACCAGATCCGTCTCCATAGGAGATCTTCCAGGTGTAGCCACTCTTGACCTTGGATGGGTCCACGGTGTAGTAGGTACGACCGCTGAGCTGCGATTGGGGCTGGAGCGAAGAGTATACCCAGCTTCAGAGGTGTTAGTCTAAGCTCATGATGAGATTGCTGAAGCAATATGCAAAACTTACAGATCGGAGCTTCCAGTGTCAAAGTCCAAGTGGAAGGTCTTTGTGCCAATGGTGACTGGGCTCAAGTACGATGCATCGTACTGGTCGTTAGGGGAGGCAGTGACGGAGCCGCTGCTTGAGGTAGCCTCAACCACGACCGTGTTTGCACGGTTCTCAGCTGCCTTGAGAAGGCTCTCAGGAACAGGCTTGCCGTACTTGCGCAGAGCCTTGACCCTGTCTGCGGGACCGTTCTTCAGGTGGGTAGAGTGGGGGACCTGGTTGATAGAAAAGGTGCCGCGTTTGTCTGTATCAATTCCAAGGTCAGTCAAGATTCAAAGGTGGTTCCCTTGTTTCGACGTACCGAGCTGGATGGGGTTTGCGGCAACGCTGCCAGCAAGGGCGAGCGCGGCTGTGAGGTTGACAATGGATGGCATAGTGGCAATGGATCGTGGAGACTCTTGAAGGCAAGCGAAAGAATGGCAGTGGAGCTGTGATGGATACAAGACATAGAGGTTGGACTTGGCTTTATACCAAGCATTGCCATGAGCATGGTGATGTGGGATCCACTTTCCTTGACGATGATGTGCTCCGTACCCTGTCGATACATCGTTTGTAGAGGGCGCTATGTTAGCGTGGGCTGTGACATCTCAGGGTGTTTAGTGGAGTATCAGTTGGTCACAGAATTCACTACTGCAGCCATTCATGGCAAACAACCTGATTGGGACGAGCCGCGAATGCCTTGTGTTTATTGGGCTCGTGTTTCAAGCGGTTACCTGCTCAATCAGACCTGGCGTGGATCATACTAGTGGGATCCGAGTGGGTGAGTGGGCGCATAGATGGACATGATGCTTCTCTGCAATCAACAGACAAAGAGGAAGGTGGCGAAATAAGGCCTATCTTGTGTAACTATAGGGCCGAGTGGGTGTATGGTGTAGTATTGGTCAAAAGCCGGATTAGTGGTCTACAACCGTGTGCGCTAACCGCCTCGGACGCATAGACGGTGATTTCCTTGATGTAGGGCTTGTACACAATAGGAAGGCTGGATCAACTGAACTGTTGGTAGCGTAGGTGGATGCCGCGATACTAAGAGTGGCGTTGGGGATTAAGTGCCAGGAGGAGCGAGTAGGATGCACCAGTCAAAGCAGCAAGATACTGCCAAGCCTTGCCATTTCACTCTTAGCAGCGTTAAGCTCAAGCCAAGGCAGCCACAGCTGTGAAACGAAACAAGGCGAAACCCGGGGGATGGGCAGAGTACTGTTATCTTAACAGTTGCAAAGGTGCTATATGGCAATTGTGCGATGTACATGGAGTGGGCGATGCTGCATGATCACATGCCGTCCACACAACCATAGACGACTGTCGTGCTACCCACATACTACTACGATGCGGCATGACAACGGTGTCTGCGAGGATGGTTCCATGGAACTAGGTGTACTTCCGGCCGCCATCGAAGATAGCGATCGGCAACTCGTGATGCCAAATGAAAACCATCCGTGGTGGATACCCAAGGCATGAAATCAGAGACTTTCGGCAGTGGCTGGATTGGGTAGGTGGCGAAGTAGTCTGGCTATAGACAAGGGCGTCGAGACAGTTGACGCGCAGACTAGAGGATATTCGTGTATGTTGGACAGGCCTGCAATGTCTCAACGAGGGCCCGGGCATGATGCGAATTTCGTTGTTGGCCAGTTAGCCAGTGTTTCTGGCGGGTGCGGCCTTTAACCTTCCTGTTTGGGCGACAGGCCGACAGATGAAGCGTCATATGCCCCTGCACACGTGCACCACGCCTATGGAGGGTACCAAGCCTTGTGATGCTCCTCTTGGACAACGCTTATCACTCTCTTGCAGCCTCGGCGCTGCCGAACAGCCAGGCTTGCATGACGTTTTGCCGCAACCCACCGATAACACGTCCTGGACTCTGTCCATGTACTGTGTAGACATGTCTTCAGCTGCCAAAAAAAAGTCCTACACCACACCACCTGCCGCTTTGGCATACGCCCCGGAGAATTAAACTCCCAAGGGCCGATTATCTCCCGCAGATTTTTGCCCGCTAACTACCACACTCTTCCCTATCCTCCTCCTAATCACCTAGGCCAAGCTGCTATAGGAAGCTTGGTATTCACGCCTCATTTCATGGCACTCGCCTGCTTCGGACTTGAATGCCAATCGGGTATCATTTACAGCGACCGTCCTCTTCACGCCTTTTCTCTAATCAACTAACAGTAACTCACATGCACTACACATCAACTATCCGCTTCCTGTCTGCCCGCTAACAGCACTCTCTAGCTGCTTGAGTGCTGCCCGGTACGTCTGCTTCTTCCCATCAGCCGTCACGGCACTCTCCTTCCATTCCATACGCCTAACCTTCTTGTTTCCGCGTTTGATGCTGTCGCCCTTGGCTATTTGCTTCAAGAACCACGCCGCCTCCGTCTTGCTAAACAACGTCCACGCCTGTCCTGCCTTTCCAGCTCGCGCCGTCCTGCCCACGCGGTGCACATAGCTGGTGATGCTTGTCGGCAGGTCGTAGTTGATCACGTGTGTAATGTCAGGAATATCCAACCCTCGAGACGCAGCATCCGACGCAATCAAAATCTTGATAGCCCCAGAACTGAACGACTTGAGCAATTTGCGCGACGCATCTGCTGTCAATGCCCTAGTCATGGTCTTGAGATGGTTCTTGAATCCAGGCATAAGTGCACTCAACAAATGCGACAGGCGGGATGCGCTCTCTGTACTTTTAGTGAAGATGAGAACGCGGCCTGTTTGCTGCGACATTGATGCTTTGCTGACTTGACCTGCGTCAGAATCATCATCTGACGAGGAGTCGGACGAAGAATCCGACGAGTCTGAATCCGATGACGACTCGGCCTCTTCATATTTTTCTGTGAAAACAAAGTTGAGCAGCACGTGCAACAGGTGCAACGGCTTGTTCGCGCCATCGCCAACGTGTACGGCAAACTCTTCCAGCCTCGATGGTAGCTCGAAAACATTGTCTTCAGTCTCCATTGGCTGCAGCTCCATGCTCGCATCCTGCACAACAACCAGCTTCGGTCGCTTCAGCTTCAATGTGCCGAGTTTGCTGACGTCCTTTTCCATTGTTGCCGAAAGCACAATTTTAGTAACTTGTCTTTGGGGCAACGCCACCGACCAGGCAGAGTTTGCATCCCGTAGTTGCTTGGCCATTCGTTCTCGAGCATTCGTAAACTCGTACGGAGTTTCACCGTGAATCGCATCCATCAGCACGCTCGCCCAGCCCTGGAAGTTTTGGTTAAGTAGCTGGTCTGCTTCATCAATGACGAGCCATCGAAGATTGTTGAGCAGAAAGCCCGTTGTATGCTCAATGTGCTCTACAAGTCGGCCTGGCGTACATATGAGAATGTCCACGCCCGAATCATACTTTGGGACGTGTCCGAGAGGCATATTCTTCAGGTCCTCGTATAGTCCTCCTCTTTCCATCAGGCCCATTTGGTGCTGCTGTAACGCTTTCTCGTTGAGCTCTTGTGCTCGTTTTGGGTCGTATTGCGCCCTCATCTTGACAAGCTGCTTTTTTTCTGTGGCGAATGCGACATTGCCCAATGCTGTTCCAACTTTGATCTTTGTGCCAGTACATAGTTCTTCGGCGACTTGAAGAGCCTGATTGACAAGTTGTCGGCTTGGTACAACTATAATTGCCGAAAGTATGGGGACAGCACGATCCTTGAGCGCCTCGATAATTGGCAGCAGATATGCTAGCGTCTTTCCAGATCCCGTCTTCGCAGAGACACATATGTCGCCAAGGTGCTGGTCAAAGCCAGGGTGTAGCATAGGTAGTAGTGCCGTTTGCACAGCCAAAGCGTCCTTGAACCCTTGTTTCTCCAGTTTCTTCACGTATGTAGCGCCGACACCAAGCTCGGAAAATGGCACCGTCTTAGATGCCTCGATGGTTGTGGGCTGAGCGAGCCATGTGGGAAGGGTAGAAAAGGTCGGTTCGTATGCTGGCTCGGGAACGGGTGCTGGCTGTGGCATGGGCTCTAGATCGTGAAGCTCCTCCTCCTCTTCCTCCTTGTCAGTTACCTCGTCTTCATGCTGTTGGCTCTTCGCCTCGGCTAGTTTGGAGGATTTTTCGAATTTGGAAAGTATGCTCTTGTGCTTCTTTGCGACCTCGTCACTCTCGTCGTTTGCTTCTTCAGTTTCGCGCTTTCTCCTCTTCGGTTTCTTGATAGATCTTGGGACTACATCGCCTTCTACAGGTGTGGTCACAGACGCGACGACGGGCTCATTTGTGGTATGCGCAGGATTCGAGGTTTCGCTGTGTACTGGGGTGGGTGAGGGCTGTTTTTTGGGCGCAGGCGCAGGCGGCGCAAACCGCTTGAATAGAGGGCCAGCCATCGCGTGTGATATCCAATGCGATCCCTGTGTAGAAACTACTCAAGCAGTAGTATGAAAAGATTCGTGGCGCTTTACAACTGTTGCAGTAAAAGAAGTCGTGCACTAGGAATTCCGGGCCCTAGAAATTTGGTCGGAGCTTGGAGAGCCAAACGCCGACCAGTGACGCGCCTCGGATTGTACATCCACGCATGCACATGCGACAAAGGCACCGCTCGTCGCCCTCACCCACCAATGCTTCGATGAGCTGTCATGTGTCCTCTTCTTGAGCAGAGTCGAGGAAACTATCCTCCCGCACCGCCATCATGCCGTACAACATCGCGTTCGTACTCAATGCCCCTCGTGCCATGCACCCAAACTAACACGCTGCAGTATGGTCAGCGACAACTTCTACCCCCAGCCCGGTATGAACCATACCAACAGGCAATGAACTTTCTTCTCATATCCTACAGGAGGAGTAGAGAGTCATATGTACCAGTTATCAAGCGTGAGCACCCTCGAAGCCGCTAGCCCGTGACTTGTCCTCATCAGCCCAGAAACTCATCGACCGTGGACACAAAGTCATTGTCATCACCCATGCCTACGCCGGCCGAAAGGGCGTGCGATATTTGACCAATGGACTCAAAGTCTACTACGTTCCCTTCTGGGTCATCTATCGCGAGACCACCTTTCCCACCGTTTTCTCTTTTTTTCCCATCTTTCGCAACATTGTCATCCGCGAGCGCATCGAGATTGTCCATGGACACGCCAGTCTGAGTAGCCTTTGCCATGAAGCCATCCTGCATGCGCGCACAATGGGCCTGAGGACAGTTTTCACCGACCACAGTCTGTTTGGTTTCGCTGATGCTGCGAGCATTCTAACCAACAAGTTGCTCAAGTTCACCCTGAGCGACGTTGATCATGTCATCTGCGTCAGTCATACTTGGTGCGTCTTTTCCCCTGCCTCACCTTCATCTGCTGACCAACGGCAGCAAGGAGAACACCGTGCTTAGAGCATCTCTCGATCCCCTCATGGTCTCTGTTATTCCCAATGCAGTAGTCGCCGAAAACTTTCGTCCTCTTTCGCAAAACTCGCAAGACGCAGTGCAGCCCAAGGCGCCGGGCCCTCGACAACCCATGGACCCGGACGAGATCATCACAGTGATTGTAATACAGCGACTATACTACAACAAGGGCACCGATTTGTTGGTAGCAGCTATCCCTCACATCATTGCGGCAAACCCAAACGTTCGCTTCATAATTGCCGGGAATGGTCCCAAGGCTATCGATCTGGAACAAATGATTGAACGGAACGTGCTGCAGGATAAGGTTATTATGATCGGCCCGGTCCGCCACGAAGAAGTGCGTGATGTCATGGTGCGTGGGCACATCTACCTCTGCCCATCGTTGACCGAGGCATTCGGTACGGTCATTGTAGAAGCTGCATCATGCGGCCTGTATGTTGTGGCCACAAGAGTGGGTGGTATTCCTGAAGTCCTACCCACCCACATGGTGGAATTTGCGGCGCCCGAAGAGGACGAACTTGTTGAAGCGACCGGGCGCGCGATTGCCAAACTGCGAGCAGGAAAAGTCAGGACAGAGCTGTTTCACAACCAGGTCAAACAAATGTACTCGTGGACCGACATTGCGCAAAGGACAGAACGAGTATACGATGGTATCAGTGGTGTGATTAGCCATGGCGAGTTTTACCAGGGTGCAGGGGCAGCCGGTGCATGGAGCGCTACTCGAGGCCGAGCCGGTGTGCAAAGCTTTGCCCTCATTGAACGACTTAAGCGATATTATGGCTGCGGAATCTGGGCGGGTAAGCTCTTCTGCATTTGCGTCATTGTCGACTACCTCATCTTCCTGGTGTTGGAAATGTTTGCGCCCAGGTCAAGAATCGACATTTGCAAGGACTGGCCGAAAAAAGCCATCCAGCCAAAACCAGAGGCGCACAAGAGATATGTGCGTAATATAGATGATGACACGGGAGCGCTCAGAAAGAGGAGCTCGAGATATCGCAAGCCGAAAAGAGATGTACTAGAAGATAGATGAGAAAAAGAACAGGAGAACATGGAAGTTTTTTTTTTTTTTTTTGAAAAATATGACTTTTTATTGTTCAATATTACGACTACTGTCGCCCACCCTATGAGCATGACAGAGAATCGTCAAGAAGGTAAAATGCTATCTACTCAAAGCCCGTAGGCGGTATATCATACCGGAACGCTGAACCGGTAACTCCTCCCATAAGAAAACGCCGGTAAAATGCTTTGTACAAGAACAAGGAAGAAGGAGAAGAAGACGCAGAAAACCCATTCACACATGACTACTCTCGTGGAGCTTAGGCATAGAACCAGTACTGCGCACTGTACTCGACGGTGAAGCTACCCTCGATACCCTCGCACGTCTTGGGCGCAACACCACCCGCAGTGTGTATCCGGTAGACCTCATTGTAAGCCCAGTGCTTGTCAGTACCAACAGTAGCATTAAGCTTCAACCACGGGACGCTACCGAGACGGTTGGTACCCAAGCTGGCAGTCGTAGGGGCAGGGCTCTTTGCATCAACCGAGCACTCGACACGGCCGTAGTCGGCATCTTGGGTCTGGAGCATGAACAGCGGGACACCGGCGGCGGTGAACTCGTGGTGGCCCGAAAGCCGCTTCTCGGCTTCTGGGGAGACGGGGATGGCATAGTTGAGGGCCAGGTTGGTGACTTTGGCGAGGGTGTCGGTGTTGAGGCGGGCGGCGTCGCAGGTTACGTTGAAGAGGGAGGCGACGGCGCCGACGGCTTTGGGGACGTCCGAGGCGGTGGATGAGGCGCAGGTGTAGTTTTGGGTGCCGCGGCCGATGGCGATGTGGCGGAGGGAGGTGCCTTGGGCTGGGGCGGCCAGGGGAGTGGGGGCTGGTTGAATTGTTAGTATGTGTGTGTGGGTTGGAGGTAAGTGGAAGAAGGACGTACCATTAGGAAGCTTGACGTTGGATAGGTCACAGAGGGCGTCGGTCTTCTTCAGCTGCTCGTAGATACCGACAGGCAGGTGCTGTCTTGGGATGAGTGCCGCGATGGAATCGGCATTCTGTGTTGGAGCGGCGAAGAGAGCGGTAGGCGCAAGAGCCAAGACGAGGCTGAGGGAGGTTGAGAAGATCATTTTCGGATTGGAGATGGTAGAGGGCTTAGGTGGATGTAGGTGTTTGTTGTGGTGTTTGTGTGTAACCGTCGATCCAAGGTTGTTGATAAGGCACCGTATATGTATCTCCAAGTGCAGGAAGGTGAAAGTGAAGACGAAAAAAATAGACCCTGACTACACCGATCTTTTCCCAGAATAGATCTTTTAGTGAGGATGTGTGAGCGTGAGTTGGCTTTGTTGCTGACGCTGATGCTCCGCTTCCCTCTTTCGTAAATAGAAAAAAATATTCTCGAAACGGAATCTATCCGTAGTTTAATTCGAGAAAGTGAATTAGATAAAAAAAATCACAGGATGAGTGAAACGGATGCAAGATTCCCAGAAAAGAAATTCAAGGCAAGAAACAATCCCAGTACAATGGAAGACCGTTATTCGTGGAGCGGGAGAGGGTGTGAGAGAGAGGGGAAGTAGGCGTGTGTGAGTGTGTGTGAGTAAGAAACAAAACAAAGCCGTTCTCCAACAGTTCCTATATACACAAAACTCGGCTCATAAAAACTCTAGACCAACGCACGCGACACGACAGCTTGCTTTCCAGCGCGTAGTCGACATAGTACCAGGCCCACAAACGGACATGGGCTTCTGAATTGCCCCAAACCCAGTCGTTTACACTTCCCCCCATGTCACGACCGCTCTGTTACCGCCGTGGTACCCACTTTTTGGACCCTTGCCAGCCGCGAAAAAAAAAGACCCCAAATATAGCTGGCATGGGTGCGATTGGACGACAGCGCTCTACAACAGCCATGCACAAGCGGGAGAGGGGCCGTGCGTTTTTTGCCTTTCTTTTCTTGGTTCGCTCGACTACCGAGGCGCCCAGAAGCGAGGAGGAAGAGAAAAAACAGATTGACATGCTTAGTTCTAGGCTACATGGGGGAGCTGGCGCGAACGCCTGACGGGGGAGGGAGTGGCGGGTTGAGCAGTGAATATCCTAGGAGCGGAGCGTGAAACTGGTGCTGGTCATGATGATGGCGATGATGATTTCATTTGAAGTAAGTCATCTAGCTACACGTGAACATACGCCCTTTACGCTGATGCGATTGCTGACCACAAAGCCATGGCGCTGTTTCTCCAAGATACCTCCCCAAAAAAAGGCTTGCGTGCACACATACAGCTGCATGTTACGCCCTACACACGCAACTTGATCCAACAATACACACACATGCTTCATCTCGCAAAGAAGAAAACAAAGGTATCGTTTACCCACAAAACAAACTATACCAGCGCACATAATGCCCCAGCATCAACACCGCCGGTGGAAATTACACACATACCCAAAATATCCCACTCCATGGCGCAAACCCTCTCTCCAACGGGGGGAGGGGGAAGCACCGCAATCCACCCACACCCGCAGAGCCGCCCATACTACAACCATACATAGCACCATTCCCCATTTCCCACCTACCCGCCCTCCAAATACGCCATCAAGTATACTTACCCATATACCCACGCACCAAGCCCCTTCCAGGAGGTCCCCAGATCCCCCCCCCCAAAAAAAAAATTGCTAGAACAAGGAAGGAAATGATAATAAATAGCTACATAGAAACAAGTTTTGTGTCCCTTAATATAGCTTCTCGTATACAGGGCAAGGGGGGGGGAGAAGGTGGGAATTGACAGCTAATATGGCTATATTGGGATTAGCGGAGAGAAGTGGAGAGCCAATCATGTGAAAGGGAGCGGGGCCGGGCGCGAAGATGGGCGAGAGAACGGTGGGCGCGTGGAGGGGGGGAAAGGTGGCTGGGACGGCCGGGTAGGCGGATGGGCGGTCGGGTAAGTAGCCGTAGTCGTTGTGTGTGTTTTTTTGTTCGTTTTCAAGGTGTGGAGAGGAAGAGGTGCTTGAGTCAGGAATGGGCTGATTCACATGGGGTTCTTTTTTTTTCGACAAGGTTGGTTGGGTGGAGGTTCAATTGAGTGTTCTCCATTTGTGTAGTAAGTAAGTAACTAGTAGACGGAAATCAAAGTTGTACTACTGCGTGTATTCTAATTCTAGTGCACACCAAAGACTCTCAGGCGCATCGCCATGCCGGCATCCAGACACCAGACCGAATTGCTTGAAGGTTTGAATGGATGACACGAATTCAACTTTTGTCTCCTTTCATTTCTTGCTCCTTTGAACAGCGCGTGTAAACAAGGAATGTCTCCGTCTCTTGGAAGGAAAGGTTTGCGGACTGGGCAGGTGTTTTGGAAAAAACTATTCGTCGACTGTTTAGCGCTTCCAAGTAATTGCAGTGTCGGAGGACACAGCCCGTCGGATAGAGCAGGTGCCGGTGCATTGCCTTGTACAAAACAAGTTCCTTAGTATGACAGAGTCTAGAATCTTGTGGCCTTGAATCTTTGACACGTTTGGGTTGCCAATTGCTAGGCGTGTGGACCTGGTCTTGTGAGAGGTGCGTGTGACATGGTGTTTTCGAATATCCTCAGTATGCCAACCACATGTCGAAAAAAAAATCGAAAAAAGGGCGTTACACAGCGTACACAGAGTACACAGCTTGGTTGAGCAAAAGAAAAAAGGGCAAAAAAAGAGCACGTATCAGTCCCCGGTTCAAAGCTCACATGGTACCAGGCGCGTACGTATACGGCCGAAGCGTGTAACTCTACATCCTGACAAGAGGAGGAAAAAGTCCCTCATGGAAACGACCCTAATAGTACATGTCCAAACGACAAACACCACCCTGTGCCCCCATGACCTCTCAAACCGCATTACAACTTGCCCTCATCCTCATTATGCCAAACATGCGTGTCTTCAGCCCCAGGAAGAGGCCCTCCCGGTCCGGCAGCAGCAACAGCCGCCGCTCCAGCCCCCGCCTCGTAACTAAAGAGAAAATAGAAAACCATGAAATGAAGCGCTAGCAGGTATCCTGCAAACATGTTTCGACTCGTACGCGTCTGCAGCACAAACTTGGTGACGCGTAATATCATGCGTTCGAAGAGATGCATGCGCTTCATTGCTCGGGCGCTCTCGCGACCCCGGAAGGCTGCAAAAGGGCTGATATTGGACTCGTATGCTGAGCGGTATTTTGTATCCACTGTCGAGGCGCCTCCATCGCCCATGTTAATGGCTGAGGGGTTCGGGTTTGCGGCAAAGCTCGAGGCACTGGATGCAGGGCCCCTGTTGACCGCATTGTAACTGCTAACATACCTGGTCTTTTCATAGAGATCCAGGTTGTCCTTTTGCAATGCACCGACCTCGCTCCGGAGAGAGGATATGGTCTGGTAAGATTTCTGGAGCTCGGCTTCGAGTTCGGAGTTGCGCTTCTTGAAGCGATCTCGCTGTGCGGTTACCATGGGGAGGATGCCTGAGCCTCCTCCCATTTCACCACCGCCACCCCCTGCACGAAGAGAGGCAAGCGTTGGGGCTTGTGACGAATTGTCGAACCCTGAGATGATTGATGACGTTGGGGACGAGCGACCTTTTCGACCACCAAAGGATGATTGCGGAAATCGCGAGACATATGTACCCGCAACTGACATACCCGAAGGATCAAAGGCATTTGTAGCCTCTTGCTGGACCTTTTCAAGGTCAGCCTCCAGGGTCTCGTTGAGCTGTCGTGACTTTTCCAACTCCATGTTTGTATTTGACAGCTCCTCTTGAAGCGCCTCTAGCCTGCTCTGCAGGTCTTGATGTGACACACGCATGACTGTAAGCTCGTTGCTGAGTTTTTTGTTACGAGCGAGCAGGAGCTGTTCCAGCGTCTCTCCCTTGCCTTTACCAGATGCACCGTTTTGTGAGAGTGCAATCTCAGTAGCCTCATCATCGTCGTCGCCAGTTGCGAACTCGATTGACTAGCACAGGTTAGCATGCATTCATGATTGTATACTCTTAGAAGTCATACCTTCAAGACCTCAAGTTCTTGCTTGACGTTCTCGTAGTCGCTCCATTTTTGGACCTTTTCACGAAGCGCTTCTTTCTCCCTCTTCAAAGACTTGATCTCCCGTTCCAAGCTCCGCATCTCGCTTTCCAGGCGTGTCCTGTCGGAATCTTTTTCAAACCGCGCATTTTCCAGCTTTCGAAGGAGTGAAGAGTTTTCAGATCGTAGGCGTAGGAAGGCAGGGTCATCTTCAATTGCGACTTGTTGAGCTGGTGCCGATGCAGACTGAGCCAACTCCAGACGTAGTTGTTCGTTCCGGGCCGTAATCTCGGCCAATCGGTGGCTTGTTCGCTCCAGCTCTGAGCTGACAATCTCAAGCTCCGCAGCTGTAGCACCTCGACCCCCTTCTTCGGCTGCCTCTCCCTGACCAAGTCGCTGTGAGACTTCATAGCTGGCCTTGAGCTCCTTCAGTAGCCGATCCTGGTTCTCGACCTTCTCTTCTAGGGCCTTCTCCTTGGACTCCCAGTTGTCCTGCTTCTCGCTCAAGACAGCCGACCATGATGCCTCAACCTCCTTGATCTTGCTGTCGCGGCTATCTTCAAGAGACTTGCGTGCGGTGCGCTCCTCTTCGAGCTTCTTCTCTGACTCGTCCAGCTGTGTTGTAAGTCTGGCTACGGTTTTTTGCAAGCGCTCGTTTTCAGATGTGAGTTTCGGCACGAGCTCCTCGGATGTTACGAGGGAGTCAACGGAGGCTTCAAGCAGAGGATACGGGTCGGGAGCCTCGGAAAGCGGCGAGTAGACTTGGAAGAAGGCGGCTTGTACGGTCTTGGACTGGTTGGATATAAGATCAATGAAGTTTTGGTAAGCTGTCAAGTTGGCTTAGCATAAGCAAGTCAATCTCAGTGCGCTGCCACGTGCTTACACTTGAGGAGGCCTTTGATGTCGTTGAGTTTGCTTGCATCGTCCAGTTTCCTAAAATCTTTGGTCTTTTGCGCAAGGTCTTTTCTTTGCGTGAGAGTGTCTCGCTGGTGCGCGACGAGGTCGGAGGCTACGGTATCAAGTTGTGGGATGAGCGAGGTGAGGTCGATGTCTGGCGCATTGTCAGCCTATATGTGCAGGTTGGCTCCGCGGGGAGCAGTCCATACTTCTCCATGCGCCGAT